ACTGTAATGTTATTCAGGAAATGCAGTTGATCAGAGCGACCGTATAATGATCGGAAGTCCTGCTTTCGATTCCAAGTCTGACTCTATAACATGTTTTTCTCTAAGGTTGCTGTCGTTAACATTTTTTTCCTTTTTAAAATATTTTTTTTCATAAAAGTTTCATAAAGTATTGATTTCTTTTCAAAATAGATTTTTAAAGTTAAACCTAAAACAAAAATAGGGAATTGCTTCTAAAAATGTTATTAGATACAGCAATAGAATGCCATGGATGCCGGTTAAAATGGTTTCCTTTAGGGAAAGAAGGGGGTACAGATAAAAACAATGAAGCAGGACAGTTTATAAGTCTTAGTAGTCCACATTATAACGACATATACATGATCCCATCCTCGATGTCCTAGGGTAAAGCTCACTTTCGCTCTCTACACCCCTGGAATATGTCAGGCACGAAGATAGCTGTTTGATTGGTCTCAGGTAAAAAAAACACCTGACCAATCGTTAGGCCGACACCTGCCATTTGAAGATTACAAAAAAGAGACGCCCGACTTCAAAGCCAGTCATTTTTGACCGCTACGTTACCGCGAAATTCTTTTGATGTACATCAAATCAACAGGGTGGCGCACACTGAGCCTTCAATTTTGCTATGACATATTCCAGGTGTGTAGAGAGCAAAGGTGAGCGTAACCCCTGGGTATCGAGGATGACATGACCGTTAAATTCTGTAATAATATCAGTTAAATAGCGCGTTAATCATGCATTGAGCCTTACGGCATACTGTGAAATTTTCCCCGCAGTTTAATTTCATGACGGCGAAATTATCGTTCAAGCGAACAAAACATAACAACAAAATATCATAGTAATTGTAGGTGAATGGCGAAATTAACAATGGGAGAACACTGACTTCAAGGGCGGAGAGCGAAATTGTTTATGTACATTGTATATAAATCCTCGATTCATAATTAAGTTTTTAATGGTTATCATCTCCGAGCATGCTATTATATATAAGTTTGTATGCACTGCTGTTTATATATAACGTGTATCAATATCATATATAAACGATTTTTACAAATATTATTTTACATGGGTAAACATTATGCGGAGGAAAAAAAATAAAAAATGAAAAAAGAATGGAATGAAACCCTTTTGAGTGAACAGATTATTGAAAAAGTAAGAATATACGAATATGTATGCATATAATTTGGATTATAAATAAATTCAAACATACTTAAATAGTGTTTTGATCATGTTGCGCATTAACGGGGCTGTGATATATCTTAGCATAACTGTACTATATGACACAGTTACCCATAAAACTAGCCATATTAGCACTAAGTAACACGCTGCCCGCATACACACACCGAACCAGCCACAAGTCTCAATCATCGTGAGTTACGGCCGTGGAAATCTAGCACATCTGCTCAAAATACAGCCAACTGTCAGTCAGCGATATGGCCGTGCTCACGCGAAATGATGTCATTATTATTTATTGCGGTTCTGTTATCGTCAATATATGCATGTTTGCAAGTACAAGGTACAAAAAAATAATACTGTCTCATAAACTGCATCGTATAAAGTATTGCCTCAGTGTAGTGTCATTGAAATAGACATTTTATTTCAACTAAAGCTATTTTCTGAAATTCTGCTACTTGTTCATTTATTATAGGAAGGACACATATTTAAATAAAAAAAAATATCTTTATCATAATTGTTATCTCGGCACCTGAACAGGGGTTCGTTTCCCAAACCTCTTGATTCGAGAGCAAGTTGCTGCGCTACCGGTGATATTTAATATCCTTTTATACTTTTTTTTCTGCACCATTATTTCAAAATGCTCCTTCTTCCTTTAGCGGTCGTAAACAATAATTGTCATTATATGAGTATACAAGAAGATTTTTTTTGTTATAAGAAATCCCCCTTTTTGTTCAAGTATATAGTAGAAACGTGTTCAGATCTGACTCAACAAAGGCCGATATACTTAAGTATTCATGATGGTCGTGTATATGTATACCACTACATCGGCATAAATTAAGGGAAGTAACTGGATCGGGACAATCGCATAAACCCTTCTACTGTCACTTTTATCGACCAACTGCCGTTATAAAATATTAATATCACACGCCATCTGTGAAGTCAGTACAGTACTGGTTATATATTTATATATAAATGACACGTTGGTAAGGTTTCCTCTGCTTGTAATCTAACTGTATAATATAAGACTGTGTCTCAAATGTTAATAGAAGGAACCTGTTTTAGACAAATTTGAGACAAATGTGTCTGATATGAAAACATGGTTCCACACAGCTTATTTATCAAAGATTTTGGAATATCTACGTGAAACTAGAATATATTTAAGTTGAAAAAACTTGTTATGATATGTGACAATTTTCGATGTCTATATAGGTTTAAGTCTTTACCATTTTCGCTGTCTATATAAATTTAAACCTTTACCATTTTCGCTGTCTATAGAGGTTAAAACCTTTACCATTTTCGCTGTCTACATAGGTTTTAACCTTTACCTTTTTCTCTGTCAATGTAGGTTTAAACCTTTACCATTTTCGCTGTCTATATAGGTTTAAAGCTTTACCATTTTCGCTGTTTATATATATTTAAACCTTTACCATTTTCGCGGTCTATATAGGTTTAAACCTTTACCATTTTCGCTGTCTATGTAGGTTTAAACCTTTTCCATTTTCGCTGTCTATATTGGTTTAAACCTTCACCATTTTCGCTGTCTATATATTTTAAACCTTTACCATTTTCGCTGTCTATATAGGTTTAAACCTTTACCATTTTCTCTGTCTATGTAGGTTTAAACCTTTAAAATTTTCGCCGGTTATATAGGTTTAAACCTACACCATTGTAGCTGTCTATGTAGGTTTAAACATTTACCATTTTAGCTGTCTATGTAGGTTTAAACCTTTTCCATTTTCGCTGTCTATGTAGGTTTAAACCTTTACCATTGTCGCTGTCTATATAGCTGTAAACCTTTACCATTTTCGCTGTGTATGTAGGTTTAAATCTTTACCATTTTCGCTGTCTATATATATTTAAACCTTTACCATTTTCGCTGTCTATATATATTTATACCTTTACCATTTTCGCTGTCTATGTAGGTTTAAACCTTTACCATTTTCGTTGTCTATTACGGTTTAAACCGTTACCATTTTCGCTGTCTATGTAAGTTTAAATCTTTACCATTTTAGCTGTCTATGTAGGTTTAAACCTTTTCCATTTTCGCTGTCTATGTAGGTTTAAACCTTTACCATTGTTGCTGTCTATACAGGTTTAAACCTTTACCATTTTCGCTGTGTATGTAGGTTTAAATCTTTACCATTTTCGCTGTCTATATATATTTAAACCTTTACCATTTTCGCTGTCTATATATATTTAAACCTTTACCATTTTCGCTGTCTATATATGTTTAAACCTTTACCGTTTTCGTTGTCTATTACGGTTTAAACCGTTATCATTTTCGCTGTCTATGTAGGTTTTAACCTTTACCATTTTCGGTTTCTATGTAGGTTTAAACTTTTTCCATTTTCGCTGTCTATGTAGGTTTAAACCTTTACCATTTTCGCTGTTTATATAGGTTTAAACCTTTACCATTTTCGCTGTCTATATAGGTTTAAACCTTTACCATTTTCGCTGTCTATGTAGGTTTAAACCTTTACCATTTTCGTTGTCTATTACGGTTTAAACCGTTATCATTTTCGCTGTCTATGTAGGTTTTAACCTTTACCATTTTCGCTTTCTATGTAGGCTTAAACTTTTCCATTTTCGCTGTCTATGTAGGTTTAAACCGTTACCATTGTAAGTGTTTATGTAGGTTTAAACCTTTGCCATTTTAGCTGTCTATGTAGGTTTAAACCTTTTCCATTTTCGCTATCTATGTAGGTTTAAACCTTTACCATTTTTGCTGTCTATACAGGTTTAAACCTTTACCATTTTCGCTGTCTATATAGGTTTAAACCTTTACCATTGTTGCTGTCTATATAGGTTTAAACCTTTACCATTTTCGCTGTCTATAGAGGTTTAAACCGTTACCATTTTCGTTGTCTATTACGGTTTAAATCGTTACCATTTTCGCTGTCTTTGTAGGTTTTAACCTTTACCATTTTCGCTTTCTATGTAGGTTTAAACTTTTTCCATTTTCGCTGTCTATGTAGGTTTAAACCGTTACCATTGTAGCTGTCTATGTAGGTTTAAACATTTACCATTTTAGCTGGGTATGTAGGTTTAAACCTTTTCCATTTCCGCTGTCTATGTAGGTTTAAACCTTTACCATTGTCGCTGTCTATATAGGTGTAAACCTTTACCATTTTTGCTGTCTATATTGGTTTAAACCTTTACCATTTTCGCTGTCTATGTAGGTTTAAACCTTTACCATTTTCGCTGTCTATATAGATTTAAACTTTTACCATTATCGCTGTCTATATAGGTTTAAACCTTTACCATTTTTGCTGTTTATATAGGTTTAAACCGTTACCATTGTCGCTGTCTATATAGGTTTAAACCTTAACCATTTTCGCTGTCTATATAGGTTTAAACCTTAACCATTTTCGCTGTCTATATTGGTTTAAACCTTTACCATTCAGTTTACTTTTGGTTTATTATGTTTTGTGTCCTGCATTGGTGCCAGGCCCGATATTACTTTAAACGGTAACCCACCAACCTACCTAACGAACAAGTATTGGACCATTTTATGAACATTAACATCTAAATTATAAAAAAATGCCAATCTATGCTTTCTTGTCAACCACTGAAAATGCCAAACTACCACGAACTCTCAAGAAATTGAGAGGGTTGAAAATTATCATCAAAACTGACTATATCGTGGTTAAAGTATGTCGTATCCCTTATAACATGTAGCTGTCTATAAAAGGCCGCTTTTTGTTGCCTCTTAGCTTGAATGTTTCAAGCTCTTTCACTTGAATAAACGTATTGAAATAACAATGGTACAACGATGCTAGTACACGAAGTTTATTAAACATAGTAATTCGTTTAGACGCACGTTATATCAGGATCCATTTGCATTACTGCATTGCACAAATGAATAACTTAATATGTTTATATATTTTGTAACTCTCTGGATTGAAACTCATAGTTGACTTGCCAGTTCACACATACAGTGATAATGTAGACGTTATAATTGCAGTGTTTATCTACTGAATATGTTTATAATAATGATAAAGTATATACCCATGTCTGTTTTGTTGAAATAATCACATTTTATGCTAAACAATTATAAACTAGTTAATCCGGATTATTCATACAATTTACAATTTACGTTAAAGGCGAACAGTACATTACATGCTCACAAACATATTGACACATCTTGTATTATTGTAATGAAATATAAATACGTGTTTTCGGAGGTACGTGTATGTACCAATGATACTTACATTTAAGTCTTTTTGAACATGACATGTTTTTTTTTAAAGCTTCCCCATTCGCTTAATCGACTTCTCAAGATACAAATGTGACTGTCTTACAAAATTCGCGTAAAATAATCAACTTGACACGCAGCCCTTATAAACAAAGCTTACACATAAATAGCTAACTTACGTACCATAAACTGTACACTTTATTTACATAGCCAGCAAACGAATGGTACGTTAAATAGCATAGTTGCACCAAATACGGTATACCGGGAAACTTTCGCTGTGTCAAAGTTTTTCCTTCGTCATTAAAATCAATTTTTATCTTCACATTTCCTTAACAATAGATATATATTGTCGTAGTAATATTTGCTTAAATGGTAAATTTGTTTTCATTACGTACATCGAAAAAGGCGAAAATTAAACTGCGGGAAAATTTTGCCAATATACAGTGTTATAGAAGATGTTAAGAAGACTTTTCCCTATACTTCTGTAATTTAAACTTTTTCTGTGCTGTTAGATTGTATCGTATCATGTGTTTGGTAGTAGGGCTGAAAAAATGGAACGTATCGAAGACATGTTATTCTTCTCTGTAGTCTACCGATCAGAGGCAGATTGTAAATATCAATAGTCTCATCTCTGCCATTACACTGACGCCGTCCTTTGTCCAGAAGTTCTTCTGTCTGAGAGTTCATACGTCCTAGGTCCTTACTCGTCTGTATAATGTCACTTACTGAATGGAATGGTGACATTTCTCTGGAGGTTGTTAGTCCTCGCTCCATATCAGTTCCTGGAAAATAACGCCAGGAAAACATACATATACGTTTATTATTATCATATGAAGCTAGACTAGCTTGCCTTCGAAAATGCTTCTAAATAATTGAACTTTTATATATTGATCAAATCAAATGAATCTATGTAAATCAAGGGGCCGCGCTGGCCAAGTGGCTAGGGCGTCTGACATTCTGCTACCACTAGCCCTTCACTACTGAGTCGCGGATTCGAGGTCTACGTGGTGCAATCTCCGGGAGCTCCGGCTTTCCTCCTCCTCGAAAACCTGACATCTCCCCAAATGACCATAGCTGTTAATAGGGCGACAAATCAAATCTATGGAAATTGTATATCCGAATTTCATAGTGAGTTTCAACAGGTCAATTGTTACCCTTATATGAGCAGGGTTAGAAGGATAAAGGTGAGTAATTGACTAATTTACCTCGGACAGTGTTATCCAGGAAGATTGAGATGATGCAGCCTACCATCATTGGAGTACCCAATACCAGATCTACAATATTATTCCATTGTTCTGATCCTGTAATGGAATCAATAAAACTCGTAGTAAATGAACTAAATAAACAAAATATCGGCGGCATTCAAACCAAAACTGCTATATGTATAAGTAGGATGTGTATAACTAAAACTGTTCAGCACTTCAGAAATGTCCTATTTGAACCTTGCTGCTTTTGAAACTATGACATTGCGACTTAACTGGAATAAAGCAAGGACGGTCAGATGCAATAAGTGCCGATTCGTAACATTGTTATTGATTTTCACGCCTCAGATGCTTAACTATCGGTTCCTGTCCCACTACACCCGTTCTTAAAATACATAGTAACTTTCTCTCAACTTCCCTCTAGATACACCTGCAGCAGAGTTCCGTCCCAGCACTTTGGTTGACCAGAGGACTCAGTCGGCAAGAACGACAATTTAACAATTGTTTTTTCCAGTCAGAACACTGTTCTTAATTATATTTTGTTTATTGTTTCACTTTCATAACCTTTTCATAAAAACCCTTCAAGGTATAGTTTTCTTTTCAGATATGATTTGTCAAAGCTATAGTCATGTTTGAGAACAGAGTTTCCAAACCGTACTTACAGTTTTTGCCAATGGTACGGTGAACCCTAATACATTTGACATTACATTTTGAGATACAGCAAAATTTGTCCCTAAAGTCCATCCAAGGGATAGACCAAAGTATTCTGAATAAACAGATGTTATTTATAGGCAGATTGGTTATGCCATTATTGGTGTTCTATATATGGTAGTTATAGTCAGTTGATTTTTATAAAAGGATTTTAAGGACTTTGTACCTGGATACAGTTATCACCGTATTGTTTTGTTATGTTAGTAAAAGGTTTAACATCCTCGCATCGACAGCAAAGGTCTTGAAATCGGACTCAAAATAACACACCAACAAAAGGAAAGTAAGGACGTGAGGAAAGAAATGACATAAATCCCAAATTTTGCAACGAAAGCAGAAGACGAGAACGAAAACGAACAATTATGTTTGGCCACCTCATCAGTCGCCTCTTTCGAAATGCAATGTGATACCTCATGTCTTTTCCCCACAACCTGAAGGGATTGAACAAACTAGTGATAGTGTAACACGACAGATAACACTACAATTGTGTACCTGTATCAATGGCCCCTTTGTTGCTTTCTAGCCAATCCGATATTACAATCGCACCAAATATAGATGTTCCTATAATCGACAGATTCCTTGATGACGTCAGATCCACGGTACGGAGGGCAGACACGCCTATCCCGACAATGATACCAAACCCGACCAAAGAGACTCCTCCCACAACCGGTTCCGGTATTGACGACATGACAGCGCCCATTTTTCCAACCACGCCCATCAACATTGCAAGTATTCCCGCCAATACTAGTACGTAACGACTACCCACCTGCCAGTAAAAATGCATTATCCGTTACTATAGCATAGGACAAGTTACAGACAGGAGGATTGGCGATTGGAGGTTAAATACATAAAAAAATGAAACTTGAACACTAGAAGTCGTCAATGCCTCAAAATAAATTATCAAGTAGTTTATCATTTCTCACTACAGGCAGTTATACACAACCGTCCTATCGTTTACCACCACCTGCAGGGGTTTCTGCGAAGGGAACTTGGAAGGAGTCAATCTTAATCTCTGTACCCACTGCAATAGTTGGGATACACAAATGTTTTCTCCAACTTACACTTAATACATATAGCCATATAGTTGGTATAATACGATACATAAAAATGAGAACATTTTTCAGATTATATAGAATACAGTTGGTTGATAAGGCACCAAGCCAGTCGATCTAATTATTGAGGATTAACTCCATTTAACAGTCACTTAATATTCATACACAAAATAAAACAGATAACGAATTAATGTAGATTATTTAAGTTGTATTGGTTTTAAAAGTAATCTAAATTGAACAAAACAAGGTGTTTAGGAAAGCTTAGCGTCATCTGCCTCACCGATGACATCAGTCATGTCAATTCAGAATTAGAAATTCTTCCCTTTTAAATCCAAAAGTTGACGAATAATTGATATCTTATATCAACAAATATAAGTAATAAAAGCTTTGATAAACACAGAACATTGTAATAAAAATGCAGTAATTAGACAAAATTACTCAATAACCCAAATAAGCTTAATACCACGCACAAAATGTATCTGTAAAAGGGGGACTACCTTAGTAATTCCTAGAACAGCAGCATATCAAAGCTAAGTACTTTACTCTCAATTCAACTGTAAGAGGGGAGACAACCTTAGTAATGGCTAGAATTGCAGCATATCAAAGCTAAAAGCTAAACTCTGAATTTTACTGTAAGAGAGGAGATAACCTTAATAATACATAGAATTGCAGCATATCAAAGCTAAAAGCTAAACTCTCAATTCTACTGTAGGAGGGGAGATAACCTTAATAATACATAGAATTGCAGCATATCATAGCCAAAAGCTAAACTCTCAATTTTACTGTAAGAGGGGAGATAACCTTAGTAATGCCCGGGATAGCAGCCGATACACTGTAGGTGGAGGTAGCGTGCCCTGTACCCACAGCTCCAGACAGCAGACTCAGCAGTCCCTCAGTCAGGATACCTCTGTTGAGAAAACACAATAGATTTCACAAGGTTGGTTTAGTAATGGATTTCGTATATCAATTTCTTCTAACATAAACTAAAGATTATAGTTATCTGGTGAAATTTCGATAAAAAACAGGGATTGATTTATGAATGCACTATTTAATGGATGTTTGTATCATGAATTGTTTTACATACAAGACACTATACAATATTTTTTAAGTTTGTATATGAAATATACATGATACAGTGCTGCGGACAAGTGACATAATCACATGAAAACATGTGATATTTTTTTTAAGAACATGTCATTTTTTTGTCAGAATTATCAAATCAAACAACCAAAATCAGTGCAAAAAACCGTAAGAAAACTAGCATTGTTGAAAACAGAAACAGTGGTCCGTTTACAACTTTATATGAGTAAATAGATGTGAAAACAAACCAATATTAAACAAAATATTACAGAGCAAGGTGTATGAATTCTCAAGTTTCCTTTTGACGATTGTAAAACGATTGTATAACCTATTGATGGCGTGTGTTGGCGGTGGTTCGGCATTGCATGATTCCGCGACAGCAAAATAATCCCCGACTGATTCAATGGCTGATGCGATAAACGCAAACAGAAATCCAAGAAATATAGGGACGTTGATTTTAGGGTATCCAAATTGTCCTGAAATGAGAATAAAAACAATTCCAGATATTGTTTTCAAATGGATTACATTTTTGTTTTATATTAAACATGTAACAGTGCCGAATATAAATGTAATGTTCAAACATTATACAAATCAGGAAGAAATAAAAAATTATTTCCTTGTAATTTTCAGTGAATAGTTAGAATTCATGATTATTTACTAAGACTTCTTTTAACTTGTATAACCTCATTTACGAATAATTTAGAGGCCGTAATTTACCTGGGTAAGGTAAGAAAAACCAGGGCGTTGCCCGGATGATATCCCCACGTGCATCTGTTCTTGCGCGATATTTTGGGTCACTGGGATCATCGGGAAAGAAATCCGCCATTGTGAGGATAAAACACAAAACCCAGCACACTGCCACACTGAGGGGAATCTACGGAGTACAGACGAGCATGTAAACCATTCATCCTATGAAATGGCATATGAAAATATATTTTAATATTTATATATTTGTAAATCTATTAGAAACACTTTGTAGCATTTCGTGTTTGTGTTTATCACACGAACCTGTGTAACAAATAATATCAAGTTTTACATAAAATATCAAATTACATAGTGACCAGTGAAACACTGGCGTTAGTGAGTGCTGTAATCAAGAAACCGCCATCTTGACCAAGCGTGTCCTACACCGTGATAATAAAAGGATATAAGTACAGTAGCATAATGAAACAAGAGACCCAGAGGGCCTGTATCGCTCACTCGTTTCTTTTGTTACATGAAACTGACATTAAGGTAACGTAAGACCAAATTTGGTAAATAGAACACAAGACATTTTAACATCTCTTAAACGATTCTGAAGATATTGTTGTTTGAAATTTGAAATTTGAATCTTAAAGCTTTAAACCCACATTGACCTTTGACTCCCGACTTTCCAATTAAAGTTGACCTTTGACCTCATTACTGTAATAAAGAAAACAATTCACACAGCTGGTCTACATAACATATTCAAGTATCATGACTCTAGTCCAAATGGTTCTGAAGATATTGTTGCTTAAATTTTTTATCATATTTGACCCCTGTGACCTTAAAAATAGGTCAAGGTAATTTTAATGATGACATTTTATAGCACTCCATCCCATGTACCGACTGGCCAAATATCATGATCCGAGGTCCTCCAGTTCTTCAGAAGAAGTCGTTCAAAGGGAAAAGTTGACGGACGGACGACGAACGACGGTAGGACGACGGACGCCGCAGTACGGCATAAGTTCACATGGCCCTTCGGGCCAGTTGAGCTACAAACTCTTTCTCTTACAGATACAAATTTCTAATGAGTTGATCCTGAACACGTTATTTCAGCTCTCTCTTGAATGTAAACTGAGCACATGTGTACTAAGGTACGCACAGACATGATATCAAAGACTGGAATCTTGGTTCCTAGTGCGGTAGTAGTCTGACGACGGCAGCAGCTCTGTCGGGGGAGGGGCACCCGTACATGGGACAGATAGAAGGCGAACAGCATCATTAGGCCAGCGCATCTATTCCCGGGAGAACAATCAATGGTTAATCAGTCTGATTTTCTACTGTAATCGGTTATCGTCAAGACACAAGAAAAAACATTCACAAAAACAGACGAAATATTGCATCCTAGCATAGAAGGCAGTCACTACTTAGTTCGTCAGGAACTGCCTTACTCTAATTTATTGTCCTGGATATTATTTTTATTCATTCTTATCACATTGAATTATTTGCAACATGTTTCGATTCATGATAAATCAAAAAGCTATTATACAAAGTTTTGTATAGAATTTCTAGGTCAGTTACGAGAAAATGTTGATTGTATTGCAAAACCTTACAGGGACTCAATAGATAAACAACTGCTCTGCCTGAAATATAGCTTTGTGGGTGTGGATGTGTCTAGAAAATAATACAGAAGACTATCAAAAACTGTTGAAGTATGAAGAATGCTTTAATAGGAACGATAGGCCAATAACAGTTAGTGTATATGAAATATTGATTAAATGGTGAATACATTTGGTGGACGTATAGGCTAGTACACTACATCAGTTATAGGCTAGTACACTACAGCAGTTATAGGCTAGTACACTATAGCAGTTATAGGCTAGTAAACTAAATCAGTTATAGGCTAGTACATTATTTCAGTTATAGGCTAGTACACTATAGCAGTTATAGGATAGTACACTATAGCAGTTATAGGCTAGTACACTATAGCAGTTATAGGATAGTACACTATAGCAGTTATAGGCTAGTACACTGTACACTATAGCAGTTATAGGCTAGTACAATATATCAGTTATAGGCTAGTAGCCTATAACTGCTATAGTGTACTAGCCTATATCTGCTATAATGTACTAGCCTATAACTGCTATAGTGTACTAGCCTATATCTGCTATAATGTACTAGCCTATAACTGCTATAGGCTAGTACACTATAGCAGTTATAGGCTAGTACACTATAGCAGTTATAGGCTAGTACACTGTACACTATAGCAGTTATAGGCTAGTACAATATATCAGTTATAGGCTAGTAGCGGTTAAATGGGAGGGTTGATTGTGGTGAATAATCATTGTGGAGTCCTTGACTACTAGTAGTTATACAGGAAAGGCTGGCTGACGTGATCATACTTACAGGAGGGCGATAGGTCAGAAACAGTTAATGTACATGCATGGTGGAGCCCTTGGCTACTGGTAGTTATACAGGGAAGGTTGGCTGACGTGATCATACTTACAGGAGGGCGATAGGTCAGTAACAGTTAATGTACATGCATGGTGGAGCCCTTGACTACTAGTAGTTATACAGGGAAGGTTGGCTGACGTGATCATACTTACAGGAGGGCGATAGGTCAGTAACAGTTAATGTACATGCATGGTGGAGCCCTTGGCTACTAGTAGTTATACAGGGAAGGTTGGCTGACGTGATCATACTTACAGGAGGGCGATAGGTCAGTAACAGTTAATGTACATGCATGGTGGAGCCCTTGGCTACTAGTAGTTATACAGGGAAGGTTGGCTGACGTGATCATACTTACAGGAGGGCGATAGGTCAGTAACAGTTAATGTACATGCATGGTGGAGCCCTTGGCTACTAGTAGTTATACAGGGAAGGTTGGCTGACGTGATCATACTTACAGGAGGGCGATAGGTCAGTAACAGTTAATGTACATGCATGGTGGAGCCCTTGGCTACTAGTAGTTATACAGGGAAGGTTGGCTGACGTGATCATACTTACAGGAGGGCGATAGGTCAGTAACAGTTAATGTACATGCATGGTGGAGCCCTTGACTACTAGTAGTTATACAGGGAAGGTTGGCTGACGTGATCATACTTACAGGAGGGCGATAGGTCAGTAACAGTTAATGTACATGCATGGTGGAGCCCTTGACTACTAGTAGTTATACAGGGAAGGTTGGCTGACGTGATCATACTTACAGGAGGGCGATAGGTCAGTAACAGTTAATGTACATGCATGGTGGAGCCCTTGACTACTAGTAGTTATACAGGGAAGGTTGGCTGACGTGATCATACTTACAGGAGGGCGATAGGTCAGTAACAGTTAATGTACATGCATGGTGGAGCCCTTGACTACTAGTAGTTATACAGGGAAGGTTGGCTGACGTGATCATACTTACAGGAGGGCGATAGGTCAGTAACAGTTAATGTACATGCATGGTGGAGCCCTTGGCTACTAGTAGTTATACAGGGAAGGTTGGCTGACGTGATCATACTTACAGGAGGGCGATAGGTCAGTAACAGTTAATGTACATGCATGGTGGAGCCCTTGACTACTAGTAGTTATACAGGGAAGGTTGGCTGACGTGATCATACTTACAGGAGGGCGATAGGTCAGTAACAGTTAATGTACATGCATGGTGGAGCCCTTGACTACTAGTAGTTATACAGGGAAGGTTGGCTGACGTGATCATACTTACAGGAGGGCGATAGGTCAGTAACAGTTAATGTACATGCATGGTGGAGCCCTTGACTACTAGTAGTTATACAGGGAAGGTTGGCTGACGTGATCATACTTACAGGAGGGCGATAGGTCAGTAACAGTTAATGTACATGCATGGTGGAGCCCTTGACTACTAGTAGTTATACAGGGAAGGTTGGCTGACGTGATCATACTTACAGGAGGGCGATAGGTCAGTAACAGTTAATGTACATGCATGGTGGAGCCCTTGGTATTAGTAGTTATACAGGGAAGGTTGGCTGACGTGATCATACTTACAGGAGGGCGATAGGTCAGTAACAGTTAATGTACATGCATGGTGGAGCCCTTGACTACTAGTAGTTATACAGGAAAGGTTGGCTGACGTGATCATACTTACAGGAGGGCGATAGGTCAGTAACAGTTAATGTACATACATGGCGGAGCCCTTGGCTACTGGTAGTTATACAGGAAAGGTTGGCTGACGTGATCATACTTACAGGAGGGCGGTAGGTCAGTAACAGTTAATGTACATGCATGGTGGAGTCCTTGGCTACTGGTAGTTATACAGGTTAGGTTGGCTGACGTGATCATACTTACAGGAGGGCGATAGGTCAGTAACAGTTAAGGCACATGCATGGTGGAGCCCTTGGCTACTGGTAGTTATACAGGGAAGGTTGGCTGACGTGATCATACTTACAGGAGGGCGATAAATCAGTAACAGTTAATGTACATGCATGGTGGAGCCCTTGGCTACTGGTAGTTATACAGGGAGGGTTGGCTGACGTGATCATACGTACAGGAGGGCGATAGGTCAGTAACAGTTAAGGCACATGCATGGTGGAGCCCTTGGCTACTGGTAGTTATACAGGGAGGGCTGGTTGACGTGATCATACTTACAGGAGGGCGGTAGGTCAGTAACAGTTAATGTACATGCATGGTGGAGCCCTTGGTATTAGTAGTTATACAGGGAAGGTTGGCTGACGTGATCATACTTACAGGAGGGCGATAGGTCAGTAACAGTTAAGGCATATGTAACATTAATCATATGGTGAATGCTTATGATGGATTATATGCTAGTAGCAGTTATATAGAAAATGTTTATTATGGTGAAAATACTAACAGGAGGACGATGGGCCAGTAACAGCTGATGTACATGTAATATTAATTATATGGAAAATGTTTAAAGTGGAGCTATTGGCTACTATTAGTTATACAGGAGCTTGTGTACATGAAATGCTGAATTTTGTGATAATACTTACAGGAGGGCGATAGGCCAGTAACAGCTACTGTACATGGCCGGAATTGGATGCAGTGATATTCCAACAAGAGTTATCGTTACTGATATGGATATTGGGCTGACAAATCTCAGCAGGGTTCCCATCAAACCTGTGACCCCTAGAAGGACCTCTACCAACGACGCTAACATAAGAGATCCCTGTAGCTGAAATATCGAGAATTATCATTAAGGTCGACTCTATTTTCCTATTCCTCTTAAAATGTTTGCCCTGTTTTATTTTCATTTTGTGCAACCGTAAACAAAAGGACAAATCCAAGAAAGTGCCGAAAATTTGTTAGACACAGAATAAGCCGGCACGCAATTAATATGACATGCATCTTTTTTTGACGGAAGAATAGCGTCAATATCAGTCCATAAATAAAATACAATATTCACCTTCAATGTTTTACCTTGTAAAGATTGATTGTTTAAATAAAAAAGCAATGATTAAGGTTTTCCGATGAATTTAACACAATTCAATGTTTAGCAACCGACTGAAGGTAAAACGTCAATCATAATGCCAAATTAAATGAACGGTAGGTGTCAAAGTTCACGATGAAAAGCAACATGTGCTGATATTATAATTATATCAGTCGACCAAAATAAGTAATATTGGAAAATATTGCTAACCTCGTTTATCCGGGAGTAAACAAGTTTCTGCCTTTCCGAGTCCCCCAAGGCAATACTTCCGTTGATAAGTGATGTCATCGTTATATTAGTGAGGTTAGTGTATCCCTTACTGTTAGTGATGTTAGGTAAGAGGGTCGTGTTGGTAGTTGTAAGACTGACGTTAGACCAGACGCTCTGGGCTGTCAATAATCAAGGTTCGAAGACGTTAAATTGTGTTTAAGAAATATTGATGACAGGTTATAACGTGTATTCGATAGAAACTTTATTTTCGAGTTTTGTTTTGCCCTTCTCATCGGAGACAAAGAACACTTTTAGCTTTCAATAGAAATCAAACCTAACAGAAACAAACAACAATATAATATGTATTCGACAGAAACTTTTTCTAAAATATTTTTTACACTTCTTATCAGAGACAAAGAACGCATTACGCTGCCAAGAGAGCTCAAAAGTTAAAGGAAACAACCATATCAACAAGTAGATTTTATATCAGGTACAAAGTTATGGACACTTACTGAGTAGGTGCTGTGGGCATTTCCAAACGACAATCAATGGAAACAGAAAGGTTTGAGACGGTCCTTGGAATATTGGTAGTCTGGAAGTATGATGTTCAGAAAGCATTTTCTCATTAAACAAGGTGCATATAAAAACAGCAGTCAATAAACAAACAATTTTAGTAAAGTTTGATGCCAGCTGAGTTTTGGATTTCCCAGGTTTATTTGACATGCCTTTCCAGTTGTAATTCTTACCAGAGGTAAAACGTTCTCTGTGTGGCATAAATAGATGAAAGAGGGCTTAACAATCGAATCTAAGGCTTTTTTGCTCTTTTATTTACTGGTGGTATTGATGAAATGTTCAGAACTTGTTCGGTATGTCAAATATTACCTTAGTTTTTATATATAAAGTGAAGTGTTGCTGAACGTGAACGGGAAACCATATTGAACACAACAATCGAGAATCGCGTATTCGACAGGACATGTTGAATTTTCATAACAAAATGGATAATCATGTGATATTTTTACCTCACTCCCAGCAGCACCGGTATCGTTGTTGAATTACGTTGTGGTCGAGCCGAGCATAAATAGAGAAAACGAACATATCGCTATGGATAATTTAGCTTAACCTCACTCCCAGTACGACTTGTATCGTTGTTGAATACAGAGGTATATCATAATGGAGAGTAATGAATATTTACCTCACTCCCAGTGCGACTTGTATCGTGGTTAAAAACAGAGGAATATATCATATTGGAGAGTAATGAATATTTACCTCACTCCCAGTGCGACTTGTAATGTTGTTGAAGACGGAGGAATATAATTATCATAATGGAGAGTAATGAATATTTACTTCACTCCCAGTGCAAATTGTAACGTTGTTGAATACAGAGGTATTTCATAATGGAGAGTAATGAATATTTACCTCGCTCCCAGTGCGCCTTGTATCGTTGTTGAATACAGAGGTATATCATAATAGAGAGTAATGAATATTTACCTCACTCCCAGGGCGACTTGTATCGTTGTTGAATACAGAGGAATATCATAATGGAGAGTAATGAATATTTACCACACTCCCAGCGCGACTTGTAATGTTGTTGAAGACGGAGGAATATAATTATCATAATGGAGAGTAATGAATATTTACCTCGCTCCCAGTGCGACTTGTATCGTGGTTAAAAACAGAGGAATATATCATAATGGAGAGTAATGAATAATTACCTCACTCCCAGTGCGAACTGTAACGTTGTTGAATACAGAGGTATATCATAAGGGAGAGAAATGAATATTTACCTCACTCCCAGTGCGAATTGTAACGTTGTTGAATACAGAGGGATATCATAATGGAGAGTAATGAATATTTACTTCACTCCCAGTGCAAATTGTAACGTTGTTGAATACAGAGGTATATCAGAATGGAGAGTAATGAATATTTACCTCACTCTCAGTACGAATTGTAACGTTGTTGAATACAGAGGGATATCATAATGGAGAGTAATGAATATTTACCTCACTCTCAGTACGAATTGTAACGTTGTTGAATACAGAGGAATATATCATAATGGAGAGTAATGAATATTTACCTCACTCCCAGTACGAATTGTAACGTTGTTGAATACAGAGGAATATATATGATAATGGAGAGTAATGAATATTTACCTCACTCCCAGTGCGACTTGTAATGTTGTTGAAGACGGAGGAATATAATTATCATAATGGAGAGTAATGAATATTTACCTCACTCCCAGTGCGACTTGTAATGTTGTTGAAGACGGAGGAATATAATTATCATAATGGAGAGTAATGAATATTTACCTCCCTCCCAGTAGGACTTGTATCGTTGTTGAATACAGAGGTATATCATAATGGAGAGTAATGAATATTTCCCTCACTCCCAGTGCGACTTGTATCGTTGTTGAATATAGAGGAATATATCATAATGGAGAGTAATGAATATTTACCTCACTCCCAGTAGGACTTGTATCGTTGTTGAATACAGAGGAATATATCATAACGGAGAGTAATGAATATTTACCTCACTCCCAGTAGGACTTGTATCGTTGTTGAATACAGAGGTATATCATAATGGAGAGTAATGAATATTTACCTCACTCCCAGTAGGACTTGTATCGTGGTTGTCAGGCCGACCATAAACAGAGAGGAACAGAAGAGTTGTGACCTGATCGGATCCGTCACAGGAGCACAAACAGAATCGGCGACGATGAAGGTGATACTGAGCATGGAGCCAAAACAGAATACCAGATGCTATAACGAATAAATAAGGATATTTCATTAACAATATGTTTTACTATAATTGAATGGTTAATTGAGAACAGATCGAAGTGAATTTCGAATATGTTACCAATTGTCAACTGTTTCTTAACAAGTCAGGGAATATTTATTGTTTATCCCTTTAAACAGAACCCTCGTCAGTTTCCTGAGGCGGCTACGTAATATTGTTGTCTTGGTGCACATGTATCATCATATATCTAAAGGATTCACATCCTTATAAAATAGTTAATAGCCGTTAATACTTGAGAATGCATTTATATTTAAACGAGAGAGTTTATAGCAAATGTTATAGTTAATGGAGGTTATCAAGCCGATTTACTTAGTAAATCCATATGCGGGCCTGTATTTGGTATTGGTATCGATATTATATGTGGCGTTTACGATTCGATTACAGTATACTGGAATATTTTCACTGCAATTTAGTTTTCATTGCAGCAAATATCTGCAAACAACAAATATATATAATGATTAAATGTAATTGCGCATGTACTATTAGGCGAAAAGATATTTTGATGTCGTTTGGCGAAAATTTGACTTGGCGAAAATTTCCTTGTATACAGTATATTTCCAAACAAAGATTATATCTTTAAAAGTTATCATTTAGCTTATAATGTCGATGTGGCACACAGGGAATTCGACCCGTTCGTTAAAGATCTATTTAATTCAAATAGTCTTCGTTTCATATTTAGTCTTCTGGAACATTCGTCGGACAGCAAACACTATTTTAGTTCGCTTTGCTGACAGTGGTGATTAAAACCAGCATATTGTCTATCGGAAAGCATCATTAAGATAACATTCGGAAGTTCACGGAGTTTAACCATTTAACCATAAAAGTTGTGCGTAACAGACTGTTTTTGTCATTATCATAAATGTATATCCGGTAGGCCCTGTCGTTAATGTTTAAAAATGTACAGATGTGAACCAGTAGTATGTATGTATACAAAAGTATGATATATATTTGTCACTGGTATTACATAATTAAGTATGATATGGATATACATTCCTGGTAATAGCATTATTATTATGATATACATATATATATCTTCCCGGCTATTGCATTATTATTACCATCATGATATATATTTTCCCGGTTATTATATTATAGGTACAATATATAATTGTCATGGTTATTACATTATTAATATTATATATATTTTTCACGGTCGTTACATTATTATCATGATATTTATTTTCCCGACTATTAAATGTTTAGTATGATATATATTTTTCAGGGTTACTTTATTATAAGTATGATATATATTTCCACGGTAAATACATTATTTGTATGATAAATATTTTCACAGTTGTTACATTATTATTATGATATATATTTTCACAGTTGTTACATTATAAGTATGATATATATTTTTCATAGTTATTACATTTTTAGTATGATATGTATTTTAACAGTTGTATGATATACATTTTTCATGGTTATTACATGAGTTGTATGATATATATTTTAACAATTGTTACATTATTAGTATAATATATATTTGTTCATGGTTATTGCACTATTTGAATGATATATACATTTTTCAAGGTTATTATTTTCATTTTAAACTGCATACGTGAATGATGTCAGTTCATTTATGTGTTGGCTGTGAATACCATATAATAAAAACTATAATACTTATATTATATTATCATTTTATAATATAAACTTAATAATATCCCCATGCATGGTTTACCTGGAATGCCACTGGCAACATAATAAGGAAGGGAGGTGTTTCCTCTATACCATAAAGCATTTTCCTAACTCTCTCCATTTTACCACACTTAACCTCAGGCCTCAGATCGTCTTCCATGATGCAATCTGTTGAAGTACCAAATACTATAAGAAAAAAATAATAATACAATATAATGAACTATGTGTTTCCATAATGCATCAATCTTTGGAAACTGAACGTAAGACACACATAAAGATGTAAATTTTATACATCCACTTCAGTTTAAAAGGACATCATCAATCATGAACATCATGGGAGAGAAAAAAATGAATTGTAATTCAGGTAAAAATCCGTGCAAACATACTTTTAATGATATTGTTCATAAACGTTTAAACTCTTTATTTTTAAACACTCTCTGCATATGACTTACTTTATTGGACTGTTCAAAGCATAAGAATTACCGAAGAGTTTAGATAGTAAGTATGTCCATCGTTTTTTTTGTTCATTCTTTTTATCTCCAGTTCAATTAATAAGTCTCAAAAGAATAAAATGTTTAAACTTTGTTTGGCTTTATGCGTCGACATACGTATTTTTGAATATGTGCTTGGATGCATTAAGTAGGACGCAGAATTATTTCTTGAACATATAAAAATGTTTGGATTTTCATCCCTTGCACCTTGCAATTTTAGATACGCAACGAACTATCTTTATGGCTCATTTCTTTTGCCGAAATAGGTTTACCATGGACGAAAAGCAATGAGCTGCACGTCATCTGACATTTGTAATTATTTGAAAAAAAATGATATCGTTAACTATGAGATATTTATATAAACTGATAATATGTTGTACTAGAAGACAAGATTGATATCGTTAACTATGTGATATTTATATAAACTGATACTATGTCGTACTAGAAGACAAGATTGATATCGTTAACTGTGTGATATTTATATAAACTGATACTATGTTGTACTAGAAGACAAGATTTACCTCAGGTAGACGATAAGATTATAGTTTATCTTGTTTCCATGACGTGATACTTACGTGAAAGAATGAGGATGATGCCAGGAATGTCTCAGAGAAGGAAGAGAGGAGAGTTTGTCGTGTTAACTTATCCCCAGCCCACCACACCACTGTCACCGTGCCGTGCGGTGTCGTACTTATACAGATCCTTTATCTACTATTATAGAAATGTATTACCCCCATTACAACCAAGTAACGATTGTCTGTACATACGAGGCGATTGTAAAAATTCCAGTCTAGTATTCAATATAATGCCTACTCCTTTATTTTACCCACTAATGCATATTTTACGGTGTATACTTCTGTTTTAGATTATGTTTTCAGATGAGACGTACTATGTCGACTTTCATAGGAGTAGTAGTAAGTGTATTTAGCACTAACGTCTGATCGTGGTCCAGATACTTTAGTGAATGAATGAGACTAATGCATACCTGATGCAGGGCCCTGTTGTGTGTTTGTGATAGCAGTAATAGGGTGTCAAGTAAAAGTGCTAACTCTGCTTTACATGATCTCCATTTATATCAGAAATAACATTGTTATACTCATGAATGTATTTATCGATTTTTTTTGTTTTATCACTGTTACTGTTAACACACTAACGTGCTATAGTGTCACAACGGAGAAAAGTGTTAAAGCGAGAAACGGATTAAAAATTAAGGATATCACGTTATGCCATTAAGCAGTGGATGCAGAACAGTTTTAATTTCTTTGATTCCCACTCATTACAATAGATAAACGCAACGCACACATATGTTTTGTTTGTTTGCTTGGGCGTTATCGTCTTGGCACTATAGATTAATTTTGATTTCTTCCATGTCCCCTACGTAAGAGACAAAAGGAAACCCCCGATTATGCAGGAGCTCCACATTAGTCGCCTTATACAATACACATGCAGTATGATACAGCAGGTCTTTTCTTGATTTCTTCAATGTCCCCAAAATATTTGACTGACAAGGAAGAAACCGCCCCTATGCTGCAAGGGCAGGCATTAGTCGCCTCTTATGACCATGCAGTGGGATACAGCGGGCCTGCTCTTTTCCCGATCCTGCATTGGTTATTGTTAGATGATCGTAAGACACTTACATTTGATTGCACCTGTAAAATATGGTAATAGATACGGTATGCCACAAAATGAATTACAGTGTATCACACCGCTGTATCGACCCTCTGGCGATGCTAGGGGCAAAAAACAAAGGAAAAATCCAAACTGGCCTAAACTACTGTTGAAACAGAAGGGGTGATGCATGAAACCCCTTCATCATACGAATTTCAACAATTTGAAAAGTAACGGTTAATTTCATATTAATCATGAGTGAAGTGTTATATTATAAACCCTGCCACTACTCAAATATGCGATATATATGGCTATCGAGGCTACGGCAAACCTCGGGGACTAAGAAACCCACCAGCAGAGTCTACCTCCTTGTATCTTCAACGATTATCATAATACAACCGTGTGATTGCCCTATACAAATGGTAAGTGATAGAGTATGCCAAAATCAATAACACTGCACCACACAGCTGTTTGTATCATCCTAGGACTTGTTTCATCGGTGATGTTAAGGGCCAAGAAGTTGTAAATCGAAATTGATCTCGACTACAGTTGAACCAAATGGAGAAGTTGCATAAAACCCCTTAATTCCATGAATTACAAACTTTCGAGGATTACTGGTTAATTTTAATAATACAAAAACGAGTAAGGTTTATATAATATATTTGAAAAAGATTACTCTGGCTATCTCGGTACGGAAGAACACTCTTTATCGTGGCGCAATCTGTCAGCAAAACTGCGGCTAATTTTGAAGACATACAATTATATAAATAATTGTAATATATTGGTATGAAACGATTAAAAATTCCATTGACCTACATGTATATGGATGTCAAATATAAACGTGCGAAGCCTTTTCCCGACTGCCGCTTATCTTACCAGGCCCAGGATTGAAGCCATGCACGGGAGCAGAATCCAACCAATGGGAACTATGTGTTCGACTGGGTCAGAGGTAATGTTTACACAATAAATGTGCTCTCATCTTCGTCGATAAAGGTATATAACGCCAATTAGTAGGATTAACGACTTCAAAATTTACTTATGAACGATTATTGCCGAAAAAAGATAATAATATCAGAAGAAGCGTGCCAGAAAACATATCGTCATTCTAGCAGGGCCTATTCAGTGGGGCATGCATGACATTATGTAAATCATCGAATTCTTTACGGCACGTAAGAAAATGAAATTTAATTTATTTTGTTTTATACCTTTTACACATTTCACAGCCTGATTGTGGTATAAACGGAATGTGAATGGAAAAGCAAGTTTTACCCTGCTGATAAGAAAAAAGAGTGAACTTTAGCGGCATAGGGCCTTTAACATTACGCATTGACCTTAGCTAAGTCGTCTATTACGACAAGACTGGGAAACAATAGAAAAACGACTTTCTACTGGACTTTTGCGATAATATCTGTTCTATGTCCAACTTAAAACTTAAATTGTATCTTTAACAGAATATGTGAATATCAAACCTCCACATTGCATAGTACGGAGTTCCTGTCAAAGTGCAATATCGTACCGGGTTGACGTGTAGTGACGATTTGATGATTTACTGCCTTAAGCGCCCTATTAACAGTAAGGTCATTGAATGCACGCTAGTGAAGTGGTAGGACGCTGGGATCGTGACCGAAGGGTTGCGAGTTCGACTCTCGTCACGGTACTGTGTTGCATCTTTGAGCAAGATACTTTACTCCGCTTGTTCAAGTCTACTCAACTGTAAATGAGTACGTGGTTTGGTAGTGCTAGAATTGTAGAATGCTAGCTGTGAGCGCCGAAATGGCAGCAGCGGCTGTATGCTCCCCAGGGTGTCGAGAAAGATATTGGCTGGTTGCAAATGCCCTATAACCACGGATAATAATGTGTGAACCGCTTTGAGACGACCTACTAACTAGATTGTGATAAAGCGGTAAATAATAACCTCGAATTATTATTATTATTCTTGTTAATAACTGGCCTCCCTGTGAGTATTTATAATTACTCCTGGAACATCAAACAATATGTAAGTTTAAGATATAAATTACTCCTGGAACATCAAACAATATGTAAGTTTAAGATATAAATTACTCCTGGAACATCAAACAACATGTAAGTTTAAGATATAAATTACTCCTGGAACATCAAACAATATGTAAGTTTAAGATATAAATTACTCCTGGAACATCAAACAATATGTAAGTTTAAGATATAAATTACTCCAGGAACATCAAACAACATGTAAGTTTAAGATATAAATTACCTATGGGTTATATGTACACATAATGTTGGGATTACAGCTTACATTTTAAAGCGTAAAATCAAGGTCAAAAATGAAACGAACCTTAAATTCATGTTACATATACCTTATTCGTTTTTCCTTTAGCGGATACATAATTTTGTACTTGTATTTTTGATATCACTGACCTTCCCCTGAAGTCAAAAATGTACTACATTTTAAGTACAGGTTAGTTTTTGCCATTTATTAAACTGCAAGAATGTCTTAGTAATACTTACGATTAAGGTGAAATTACTTCTGTTATCAAGGGAAAATCATTGTTTACATTTACCTCGGAATCTATTCTGTTGTTGTGACGTGTTAAAATGGACCTGTCACGCTATGGCTGTATAACGATTCCCTGTTTTCTGGGTATGTAATCTAGTGCAACGGTCGCTTCAACAAAAGTTTTCATGCTGCTTCAAACGTTTTCACGGGCCATGCAATATTTCCAGTAGGTAATGCGTGCTTAAATCAAATCATTGCCATAGTTGTTGGGTCCCTGTGCACACGTTCATAAACATTTCAAGCGGGAAAAGTCGAATGAATTAACTTTAATTTTGGATAAGGTTTCCTGTTAAAACTATCTGTCAGGGGCGGACCAACAGTTTGTTGTTGATTCATATTTCAAATGTCGTAATTTATTTGATGAACGTGAGCATTGAGATACGGTGTGATATGGACGGTGTACGATTTGGAGAGCTTTGTAACTGGCCAACTTGTGTTACGGCAGTGTCTAGTAAAAGTCATACGTTCATAACAATT